CTGAAAAAATTTCCTATCAAAACCATATGTTTAATAATTTTTCCAGCCAAATCACAATGTCATAAGAGCGAGTTACAAGTTTAGAAATTGAGTGATTCGGCCAAAAAATGCCGTGCGGCAGAGCGCTAGGACACTTCAGGAAATTTGCCCCATATGTCGACTATTCTTTCGGGTCTACTTTATGGCCTGTACAGGAAGTGGCAAGCAGCTGGTCGCACGCTTCGGTATTCACCACCGGTCGTCCGAGGCCTACGCATTTTCATGCGTCAATCGCAAAAATCTCCATTGATTCCGATCATCTGTGAGGCGGATCTTGGCAGACTTAAGCCGCATTCATCTTGAAATAATCTTGGCTCGTCGATAAACTCAAACATACCCACTACCTCAAATTCGCTCGAGATTAGCACAATCAATATTAATAGACTTCCCACCAATTTCTCTTTATAAAAACAAACAGTTAATAGTAATGATTTTCATCTTACAGCAGTTAGTGAAACTATTCTGATTTTTTTTTGACACCAGGACCGACCATAGCAAATAATAATAATTATAATTAAATTATAATTAAATTATTTTTTTTTTTATAATTATAATTAACGATTATAATTCTTTATAATNCTCGTCTATGTAATTTTTTTTTTTTTTTTTTTTTTTGAACCTGACAATTCCGATTAAGTCGATCGTTGTCGAGCATCAAGCCTTATCCTCATCCCTCCTGCCCTTGTGGGAAGACTGATCTTGTCGACAGAGAGAGCGTGATCAAGTCTATTTATTATTAAAGTTTTTCTTTCGTCTGTGTTTTACAATGTTATAAGTAATTACTGCTCTTGTATAAACAAATTTGTAAATATTATAATTAAAAATGTCACTGTATATTATTGCCATGTGGGCCAAATGGGATTCTACCTCAAGGTCCGTATCAAATTAACAAATCAAATTAGGCAGACAACCGCTCGCACTATTCAAAATCAATGTTTTACGCACATTTTGTTTAATTACTCATTAGTTAGTTCGTTAAGGGGTAATTTTTAACATACCAATCGAAAGCTTGGAACTTTCTCTTTCAGAAAATATATTTTTTATTAAGATGGTTGATCTTTTAAATTAGTTATAAATAATAAAAGACCGCGTCCTATAAGAGCCCGTGTTAAAATCGCCATTTTTAAACTTGTTTATCTCGAAAGTTTGATCGTCAACCACATGTTTTTTTTGGAATCTCATTTTGAAGATCTAACAAATCGATTGATATAAGTTTTATCTTTTTGGATCATCTTTTGTATTATGTGTAGAGTCTCCTTAAGTGTTGTACATATTACTCCGTGTAGTTGGCGAGCGGCGTGGGCATAATGGCCACCAAAGTTCGAGGTTGCTCCGGGGTCAACTCTGCAAACGTATACCACTGGCCGGTCGGTGTGCGAGCCGGCGCAAGCAGGCACGTCGATGAATCGACGCCGCACGACGGACGTAGTCATGTGTCTTTGCTGCCTCACTCCATGCTGGAACACCGTAGAGAAGGATCGAGTCGACAACGCTGGCATACAGCCTACGTCGACTGCTCCTTGGACCTCCGATGTTTTGCATAAGACACAGCAGGGCACCTGCTACCCAGCTTGCCTTGTTGCTGACAATTCGAAGGTGCTCATCGAATCATAGCCTGGCGTCAATATGTACGCCTAAGTACGGGATACAGGGAGCCGACATGATGTAGTGGTCGCCGGCTCTGAGGATGATGGTCTCTCTCACTTTCCTGCTGGTGACCAGAAATACCTCAGTTTTCTGGTCCGCGGTCTGTAGCCCCATGTTAGTTAGGGCTGCGCGCACCAGACGTATAGTCTCGTTTGAGTAAAACCTCGACATGGTCTAGATGCTTCGCCACCACTGTGACTGCAATGTCGTCCACGAACCCCACGATTTTTGCGGATCCCGGAAGCTTGAGCCTTAAGATCCTGTCGCACATGACGTTCCAAAGAATGGGACCTAGTACGGATCCGTGTGGCACGCCAGCCGTAACATCGTAGGTCTCTACTCCATCATCCGTGGTAATTTCCTGCACTCTGTCGCAGAAGTAGCTGGACACTAATCGCAGCAGATAAGCTGGGACCTACATTTGGCTCAGGACGTTGAGAATTTTGTTCCACCGCGACAATCACCTCTTCTTAACCCATTAACGACCAAAATGCTCGATTTTTTTGTTGGTTTGTACAGCGATTTTTTTTTGTAGTTTGAGGCCTCCAAAAAGTTTCGTATGGACCTATTTCGATGTAAAATTTAATGCCCTTTCAGAAACTGAGCTCAAAATTTCGATTCTTTGCGTAATAAAAAAGTTATACTACTTATACGAAAAAAAACGTAAAATTTTTTACATTGAAATAGGTCCATACGAAACTTTTTGGAGGCCTCAAACTACAAAAAAAATCGCGGCGAAAACCAACAAAAAAATCAAGCAGTTTGGTCGTTAATGGGTTAATATGGAAGCGTCACATGCACGCACGATTGTGGACATGAGTTCGTCCACCATGTCCTCAGGGAAACCAGACCTGACGTTCATCGCAGAAACGACCTCAGCAAAGCAGTCACCATCGAAAGTTCGTGCGTTCCACTTACGATTGCCTACTGGAGGGCGGCTAACTATTCGATTTTACTCGAAGAGGATTTCAAACACAATGGCTTGGTGGTCGCTACCAGTGTAGGCATTGCTAACACGCCATGACCCAACTCGATCGTGGAGCGAAACACCAGCAAAGGTAAGGTCAACTATAGATCCTCCCCGTAGACCAACAAACGTCGGTTTCGAACCGGTTTTCAGCAGGAGGACATCCAGGGGTGCTAAGGCGTCTAACAGCGCCTCGGCCCCCGGTTTCGTCTCCCTGCTGCCACACTCCGTCGACCAGGCATTAAAGTCGCTCAGGACTTTAATCGGATCAGGACTTTTCCTCTGGCCTCGTCAATAATGTTGGACAGAAGGCCAGTGAATTCGTCGTGGGAGAGTCTAGGGGGCGCATGTATACCGAAGATAAATATTCTAGCTATCTATACCCAGGTGTAAAAAAGACTCTGACCAGAGGAGCACCGTTGCACGGGCACCCTCCCGCACACCCAGATTGCCGCTTGGTTGTCCGTATCCGAAATCCAGGTGCGTGGTGGCATGATTGCCACATCAATACTCAACTTTACCGCCGTCCACAAGACCAGATTTTGGGCGGTCTCGCAGTGATTGAGGTTGAGTTGGAGGAAGTGAATTCGTCTTACCTCCATTATGAGCCTCGCTAGAACTTCTTGGCAAGCGGACAGGCTGCACTCAACGAAGCATGAGTCCTTGCATCGTCACCCCGGCAGAGAAGACAGGAGGGCAAATTTTGGCAAATCTTGACCATGTGCCCCTCCTGACCACACCATCGGTAACACGACCTGCGGTCTGGACCCTGGCATCGGGCTGCCATGTGCCCTAGCTCCCAACACCGGTCAGTTAACCCATCCAACCCGGATGTGCCCCAGCTTAATGGCTTTAGCAGCCAGCTGGTCTGGCAGCATAACGACGGCAGTCTGTGTCTCCACGAAGGCTTTTCGTAGAGATCTGACTGCGTCTAGACCCAGCTCGATGGCACCATCCAGGTGGGTTCGGAGGGCCCCGCAGATCTCCTCCATCGTTGTGACCTCGTTGAAATCTTTAATCTCTATCGCGGTCACTGGAGTGCGAGCAGTTGCTGAATCCAGCTCTCCAATAGCGCTGTCCAGCTTCCGTCCAAGCTCGTCAGGGCTGGTGCAAGCCCTGTGTATAACCTGCAACCCAAGAGGAGAATCTCATCAGATCTTACTTTTGAAAAGGAGAAACAGGTGTCTTTACCTTTTGTAAATATTAAAATCGCAAATTTCCTCTTTTCGATCATCGGCCCGCAACTCAAACGGTGAATCTCGCTAATTATTACTTTTGAAAAGAGTAAACTGATCTTTTTACTCTTTTTTGGGTCGAATTTTACTATTTAGTGCTGAGCGTGTAAACTCGAGAACGTGTGAATATGTGCGAATAGATTGTCGAGTAAGGAGCGCTTGTTCGCCGTTTCAGTGTAGCGGATATTATGAACGTCTAGTAAACAAATTTTAAAAACAAATATCTCGAGAGTTAAATCTAGCCATGTACGATTAACTTTCAATAATAAAGTTTTAATTTGACACTGTATTTCTTATAAATGATAAAAATGATAGAATGAGAAGGTCAGAAAGCTGAGCTCGCATCAAGTTCCAAGACCCATCAAAGCCTGTACATTTATGCAAATTTTATTTTTACTTGGGTTTTATTATTAATGATTTTTTTATACATTTTCTTTTTTATTCATAATCCGCAAGTAAGGAGGAATTTTTTAAGATCCTTACCAGCTCCATAGCTCCCCCGTATATGGGGCGAATCATGATAGATGCCCCAGCGGTGTGCGCGAGTGCGCAAAACAGACAAATCACGCAGTTTTTGACTCGCTGTACGGACTTTACATTCTGTTGGGTTTTGGCGCTTTCGGACAGGGTTGCTGGAGTGAGAGAAGGGATTTTGCGTGAGAGCGCTCAACGAGCGGTGATAGAAGGCGATGATTAATTTGAATGAGAGCTGTTAGTCAGCAAGAGACGGTCGCTACTCTCACTCCAGCAACGGAGCTTTGGAGCCTATCGCGCTAATTGTCAATTTATCGATCACGGTTTAATAAAGTTATTATTTCAAAAGAAAGGTGTGCATAGTCTTAGCTTTTTCCCGCAACCCACAAGCCAGGACGGCTCATTTAATTTCTACGGCCCGCAGCGGCAACATTGGTAGCAGAGCGTAATTATTATAGAAGAAAAGAAAGCAAAACTCCTTTCGCTCGAAATTTGCGTGAAGATTGGTCAACGAACAAGTATAACAACACAGGCGGCGTCAACAACAGATCCCTCGGTGTTTATTTACACGAGATAATTTTGGCGCGAGTCGACTGGTGTAACGGTTTTCTCGTGGCGCGAGTCGACGTTATTTTTCCATGGCAACTATAGAAAGCCTACTAAGAGCGCAAGAAAAACTTGCGCAGTATATTGCTAATTTTTACAAGAACTCCACGGAGAAGGTGCGAGGATACCTCCAGACGGCTTCTCACTTCGCGGCAAGGCTGGAGCTGTTGGAAAGCTATTGGTCAAAGTTTACAGTTAATAACGACCAGTTGGTATGCTGTGAAAAGGATTTCGCATCGGAGACTTATTTCACCAACGATGGGTACGGTTACATCGAAGCCGAATATATCAGCGCAAAGGCAAGAATCCGGGACTTGTTGGCAACGGCTCTTCCGTCTGGTGGTTCAGGGGAAGCGTCGGCGGGACGATCGGAGATCAGGATCGAGCAGTTCTCCTCTTTGCCCAGTCTCGCCCTTCCAAAATTTTCCGGCAAGCAAGAGGAGTGGGAGAGTTTCAAGCAGCGTTTCTCCTCACTCGTCCGGGACAAAGAGCACATACCGAATATAGCTAAGTTGCAGCATTTATTAAACGCGGTCCAGGACCCAGCCGCGTTGCGCTTGCGAGGTCTGGAGATTACCGAGGCCAATTTTGATGTCGCTTGGGAGAAACTAATGCGTCGTTATGACAACCGACGTATTCGCCTGGCCACCACACTTGAGAATTTAATCCAGCTATCGGCGGTGAAGTCCAGGAACGCGCAGGAGCTCAGCGAGCTGATTGATCATTCAGAGGAAGCGGTTCGCTCGTTGAAGGAACTGCAGTGCCCCGTCGAACATTACGATGCATGGATTGTACATTGCGTAGTACGCAAGCTCGATACGAACTCTCGAGAATCATGGGAAATTTCGCGTGAAAACTGTGATGAGCTGCCGAGCTATTGCGACCTCGTGAATTTCCTCGAGAGACGCATTCACTCTCTTGAACAAGCAAGACCAGCGAACGAAAGCCGCGAAGCTCAGACTTCAAGACCGCGCTGCTCGGGTCAGCACCGTGTTTTTGCCAGCAGCACGCAGGTTCAAGAGGATGGCTCTGAGGGGAGGATTGCGCCTCTCTGCGATTTATGCCAAGGAGGACATTGGCTTCATAAATGCTACAAATTTTTGGCTCTGTCGCAAGCTCAGCGATTGGACTTTTGTAAAAAGAAAAAGCTTTGTTTAAACTGCCTGCATAAGTCGCATTTCGCCGACAGATGTCCGTCAAACTTGCGATGCTTGGATTGCCGCGGTAAGCATCATACTAAACTTCACATTGACGCTGTGAATAGGAAGATACCAAGGCGACGCGACACGGATGGTGGTTACGACGACCAGGGCGGACCCAACTGCGGAGGACGGATCGGAGCGTTCGATCGTTGCGCATACTACGATCGCAACCGCTGATGTCCTCCTCGCTACAGCTTATATAAAAATTGAAGCAGCTGATGGAACGTCATTGATCGTCCGAGCTTTGATTGACCCTGCGGCGCAGCGTTCATTTATGTCAGAGCGTCTGGAAGCACAATTGAAATTGTCAAGAAGGAAAGCAGCTTGGGCTATCATTGGCATCGGTGCCGGAGTGACCGCGAGATCACGAGGCGAGGTGTGCTGCACCGTCAGATCGCTAAAGCTCGCCGACTTCACTATGGATGTTGCGGCGTTGATCGTGCCAGACATCACACGGTATCTTCCGCCGAGGAAAGTTCCACTTAACTGCTGGCCGCATCTCGCCGACCTCGAACTGGCCGATCCGCAATATCACATACCTGCAAAGGTGGATTGTGTGTTGGGCGCTGATGTCTATCCATTATTAATCCAGGAGGGACTGGTGAAAGGAACAATAGGAGATCCAGTTGCACAAAATACGGCATTTGGCTGGATCATCACCGGGCCGATCCTGCCAGACCTCAAATTTCACGATATGGACAAAATACAGGTGTTTCATACCATTGTCGAGCCGTCAATCACATCCATGGTGGCCAAGCTGTGGGAGCTCGACGACGTGCAGGAAAAGCAGCACCTTACGGAGGAAGAAAGGCGCTGCGAGGAATTGTTTGTTCAAAGCCATTACCGGAACGAGGACGGCAGATTTGTTGTGCGACTTCCATTTGCAAAGCGAATCAATTTGGGAGAATCTCGCGGTGCGGCGCACGCGTGCTTATTGCGCACAGAGAGACGCTTTTCCCTCAACAGGCCGCTATTCGACGCTTACTCGACATTCATGAGAGAATACGTCGAACTGGATCACATGCAGTTGGTACCAGACGGTCAGCGGTCTCGACCGGCCTTTTACATGCCTCATCACGCAGTGTTCCGTGAAGACAAGCCTGGAAAAATTCGAGTTGTTTTCAATACCTCGCGAAAAACAACGAACGGACTGTCTCTCAATGACGTCCTGCTTCCGGGGCCGAAGCTTCAGGCGGACATAACGGTGGTACTCACGAACTGGCGTTTTTTCGGAACTGCAGGTACCACAGACGTCGAGAAGATGTTTCGGCAAATTCGGGTGCACGACGACGACGTGGACTTTCAGAGGGTGCTGTGGCGTCTCGAACCATCGTCGCCTATACAGGATTTTCGATGCACCACGGTGACTTATGGCACAGCGTCGGCTCCGTTTTTAGCTCTGCGCGTTATGCGACAGCTGGCCGAGGATGGACGAGACACACATCCCGAGGCGGCCGAGGCGTTGCATCATCAACTTTACGTGGACGACGTGTTTTTTGGAGCAGATTCTTTGGAGCAAGCTCTGGTGCGGAGAGATGAGATTATCGATCTGCTTGCGTCGGCGGGAATGAGGCTCGGCAAGTGGGCTGCATCTGACCCGAAGCTCATCGACGGCCTCGTATCGACGTCGGAGGATGTGGTGCCCTTGAACGTCGATGAAATAGTGTCTACACTGGGGCTCAAATGTTTGCCTGGACAAGACAGCTTCACATTTCAATTTGCGGCTCGCCCCACGCAGGTCGAGATCACGAAGCGATCAATTTTGGCGGAGATCGCAAGGACATTTGATCCTCTAGGCTGGCTGTCCCCGGTGCTGGTGTCGGCCAAGGTTTTGTTGCAGGATCTGTGCCTGGACGGCATCGACTGGGACGCCCCGATCTCTGCAACTTTGGAGCAGCGATGGACGGACTTTACCGCTGCTCTGCCCGAGGTCTCCTGCATCCGAGTCAAGAGATGGTTAAACACGCGCGAGGGAGAGGATTGGCACTTGCATGGCTTTGCGGACGCTTCCAAGCGAGCCTATGCTGCAGCGATTTACGTCGTCTTGCCCGGAAGAGCATCGCATTTAATCGTAGCCAAGACGAAGCTCGCCCCGACAAAGGTCCAGACGGTGCCCAGACTGGAACTGTGTGCCGCGGTCTTGTTGGCTCGTCTTGCAAGGCATTTGATAGATAAGCTGAGATTTCCCCCCAGAAAAGT